AGTATATGTATCGTACTATATTAATGCGAGGAAAGTTGAACGGATTTGTTACAGCATATCAAGGAGCTCATAAATAAACAGAAAGCTGTTACGTGCAAACCACATGAATACAGTTCGAAAGTAGTTCCGGAAAGTAATTCACGTTTTTTGTACAATTGATCAGTTATTGGTTGTGTTGACTCTACTTACTATTAGAGAAATTGTTGTTGAAACTGATAAATATGGAATAATAAATTGACGAGTTAAATAATGATTTATTCTAGGACGTGTTTATACACAAAGAGAATAATTTTGTTGAAAAATTTAAAATTTTACTATAAATTTGCAAATAAATTTGTTGAACAATCAAAATAATTTTAGAAATTCAAACTAATCGTTAGAATTTTATAATTTCTTGCAGTATAGTTTATAATTTTTTAGTTTCCAACATAATTATTTTGATGGTTCAACAAAATTAATTTTTAGATCGGTATTTAGCTAAATTTTAAATCTGTCAACAAAATAGTGTAGAATTATTTGTGTCATTAGCTTGTGTTTTCGTTCATTATATTTGAAGTAAATATAAAAGACATTCGTAATTCCAAAAATTCTCTTCGAATCTTTTAAAATAAGACATCGTAATTATGAATTTCTTTCTTATACCAAACTATTGAATTATTTATACGAGTTCGTGTGCCTGAAAATAAAGGCGCACACTATCACTTTCTGCTTCTTTTCGTAATCATTACAACAGGGATGGTTCGGCCTCTCGAAATCGCGATCCTCCGTGCGATCGGTTCGCGATCGCGATTATTACGCTAGAGGAATCGCCATGCCCATTCGAAAGGTTTCTTGCGTGTGAGAGATACGGGCGCACGTGAGAAGTGGGTTATCTAACTGACAACACCCTCATGTAGTTCACGAGAGTTTTCCCATAAGTCGTAACAGGACAGGCAAACGTCTGCAGAAACGAGTTGCAAAAACAGAGAGATGGGGAAAAAGAGAGAAAGAGAGAAGGAGGAAGGAATTGCGTCGGGAGATGATACTTATGCCAACAGACACAATCTCTCTCACGAAGCGACATGTTCTCTTTTTTCTTCGTAGTCTTACTAACATATAATTTATTATCGTACAAATGTTGCGTTTGCGCGTTACGTGTCTTCTAGATTTCTACAGCCCGAAATTCGCCAACACGCTGAAGAATTTAAAATATGGGAAACATAGAGAATTAACTTATTTTTCGGATTCTTCTTTTTAATTCTTTGCCGTGAGCCCTCTGTTTTTTACTTTTAATTTATACGCTTAATTATAATTTATAAGCGATGGAATCTGTGTAATTGTGTAATGTATAATTGGCACATAACGTGGTTAAATATAAAGTTAATCTGAGAGATACAGATGATATAATTATGGATAATACTGTAAAGGTTATTATAATTTTATACAAAATTTTATAAAAATTATATTACAATCTTTTTTTTCTAGTAACTACATACAGATTTGAAAATAATTCTATTCGATCATCAAAATAATTACATAGAACGTTGATGTCAATGCTACAAAAAAATGTAATATTCTAAGTACCAGTTTGAGTGCCCTACATCATTATTTTGAACACAAATAAGTGAAGGCCACATTCGGCATAATTATTTTGATGATAGTATAATTATTTTTGATAGTCGAAACAAAATTATTTTTAGATCTACCTAAATTTTTAGATACTTCAGCAAAGTCGTTCCTTCCGTGCAGCTACGTTCTTAACTCAATTATAGGAATCTGACATAAATTCTTGGAATCAAACGTCGAGACAATTGTCCGTTCACCAACGCCGCGATTTCGACAACATGCTATATGGAAGCCGAGGCGTGTGCAGCGCCAGATTGAAAACCCAGAATCCAGTCCGGCCGATCCCCGACAGCTTGGATAGGTCTTGATCAGCATGTTGTCCCGCTTCTATGGAGGGGAAAACAATCTCCGTCCGACTTTAGATGCTGGCATGATACTCTCGACGATAGTCGAAGGTGGAGTCGCGCTCGCTGCGGCCTTTGCTAACTGTACAAATTCCCTACCTCGCTCGCTCGTCATAGCGAGGTCTTCCTCTTACCTGGCTGATTTTCTACCTTTCTCTCGATTCCTCTCCCGTCGTCCTTATTCCCCGATCATGCCACGATTCACAAATACCCCTTTTCCGCGTCCTTTTTATCCCCACCGAGCAAAAGAGCGAAAGAGTGAGGAAGAAGGAGAATAAATGAGTAAGTGAGTGAATGTGTGTGAATGTGTGTGTGTGTGTGTGTGTGTGTGTGTGTGTGTGTGTCAGAGAGAGAGAGAGAGAGAGAGAGAGAGAGAGAGAGAGAGAGAGAGAGAGAGAAGAGGGAGGGTAAGAGGGAGGGAGGGAGAGAGTGGAAGGACGGGTGAAGAGAATGGAGAGGGACGAAGTACGTCGAGCCTTCGGCATTTTAACATTGCTCTTTTATAGCCTGTACACGTTAAACGTTCGCGAGAGAGACCTTTTGAACTATCTTTCTGACGAGATGGACGAGAACGAGGAACTCGCGAAGATAAACTTGGCCGCGACTTACACTGCGACTAGACGCCATCTTTGAAGGATGCTGTAATTGTTGACTCTGATCGTTTTTTTGTAATCCGTATTTAATTTTATAAAAGCTCAAAATTGTTTGTTAAAGGGATACTTAAAAAGAATTGAGATTTTTGTTTATTTAACTAAAAGATGTATTTAAAAATTTACATGCAATTATTATTAGACACCAAGAATTGGTACTTTTTACTTATTTATATTGAATTTTGATTTCTTTGGTCAGAAAGTCTTAAAAAATGTTACTCTAATAGAGCATTTAAGTAATATATTTTTTTATTCTATTTTATTATACTTACTTATTATATTATATTATAATGAATAAAGTATTATAATACCTGTGATGTTATATTGCTCTCAACAATCTTTATTTTAGGCGAGTACTTTAAGCGAACACATCTTGTTGATTGGATATTAAAATTGAAGCAGTTCTTAAACTCAAGATTATCAAGAAGTTCCTAAAGGAGATAATTATTTAATTATTACAGACGCTTCATTGAATGAAAAAATATTACTTTCTCTTACTTTTCTCTTTAAAGTATAATTATTAGCATGAATTTCTTCATCGTATCGTTCGTATGACTGAAGGTAAGATTAACTTCATTTCAATATGAATAAACGCGATCCGCAAAAATAACTTGCCTAATGATACACCAGGAGATTAATCAAAGAGCTCCATCGAAAGGTCGTAATATCTTCAAGACTGCGTCTAGCGAACGAAATGTCAGGAAAACTGATGATGCAATTCCATTCTCATCATCGATTCGCTTTTCATTATTATAGACCCTAATCTTCTGTCATTTTTCATTATTGTCAAATCACATGCCAACCAAATAAAGCATTACATTTTATTACAAACAGTATAAAAATTTTTGTTCCATAATTTCGCTTTATCAAGAAACTAATAAAAGATTGAAGCAGAAGTTTGTTTTTCTCGGTTCGCATTATTATATAAATCCCTGCCGCAAAAAATTTAATGTTACAACTCTTACATTACAGAACACCTTACTTATTTATAGGTATATCAATTGTTGTAAGATATAGAAATAAAAATCAAATTGTCGTAAAGCTGAAATTGTTGTTATATTAAAAAATTTTAATCATTATAAACTCTACTTTTCAAAACTAAATGTAATTATTATAAAATTGTGGTTGGTATTTTCAAACAATTTATTCTTTAAATTAGTATAATATTATAATTATGGTTTCAGCAACTCATACATTAAATTGGTTTAAGATATAATTTTTGTATTAATTTTTATATTATTTTACTAATTATAACAATTAATATTTTACTGAAAAGCTTCGACAATTGCAGATTAAATCAATTTTGAGAATCACCTAATATCTTGGATAAGCAATATGAAGAAAAAGACTTCTCAGGTCGTCGTCGTCCTCGGTGGAGCTTTACCGGGTACAGACTATAGGTTCTCTTTACTCCGAGGCGCACGGTTTCTCTCTCTCTCTCTCTCTCTCTCTCTCTTTCTGTCTCTGTCTCTCTCTCTTTCTTTTTCTCTCACCATACCTTCCATTCCCGCGGTGGAGGCCGCATACCTCCTTAGGATGCAGTATAGACCTGTCCATTGGCTGGCAGACACCGGTTGGTTCTCTTTTCGGTCCGGAACGACGCCGTCGTTCAATGATACCGAGAGGGTAGATGAGACATTCTCTTACGTTCGTTCGTACTTTTAGTTACCTCTTCGTGAGTGCGTCATGCGGACGATTCGACGTGATTTCACGAATATGTTTAAGTGATTATAGAATGGTGTGCGGAAATACAGCACGTGTAGTTTCGTGACACGATGAGGTGATAAACCGTGTTGTGCAGCGCGGTATCTTGGAGCGTCTTTGGAAGGTAAATTCTGTGAGCTCAAAGAAAAAGTTTGAGATAATCTTTTTGAATTTATGTCAACTTGGATATTACTTTCAACGCGAAGAGACTGATTAAATAACAAAGAACTTTCTACGGAGTTGATCGGTTAATTTTAACTTCCGCAAATATTATAGTTAGGAGCTTTATTTTTATACTCATTACTGCTACAATGTTAATAATAATAATTATATTGATTTAATTATGCAACGATATATTCTTTTTGTTATAAAGACACTATAAACATATAATTATTACTATTGACGTTGTAGTAATATTTTACAATGCAATTAGAATGTCAAAAACTTTCCTCTCAGTGTTTATACTTGGCAGATGTTGAAGTTGAAGAACGCCAATATTAAAGATTTATGCGTTCTGAAACAATAAAATGTGCTAAATTAGATCAATACTAATTGAATTCTTGTTTCAATTGTTGATTGGAAGACTTTTTATTGTCTTCATTACTAGAAGAATATAATTTCGCTAAGATTACTTCATCTTACATCAGCACACATCCTAAAATGAATTTCTTGAATTTGTTTTCAATTACTTGTAAATAATCCTAGAAATAAAGCAAATAAACTATTCACTTATTAATTCTTTGTATATATAATATTTGTGTATATAATAAGAATTGCGTATGCGGTATATAATTTATTCACGAGTATGAAGCTTGCTCGCTCCTTTCAGACTGGAATCGAGTGACTTGTAATTTTCTGTTACCATTCTGTTCTTTGCGTTCATCACGCTTTGCATAATTATTATCCAGTTGAATAAACCGAAGAACATCTTTTACAATTTCTAAATTTATTGCATATTGAAGAAAATAATATATCAGAAAAGCAGGGAAAATTGGGTCCTGGTTCTGAATATGATTGCAAAATCAACGTTCATGCAAATCGAGGAATTGAGGTCGGAGATTGAGGATGTCGTCTCGACGATTTCTTAGCAACGGTATAATCGTGCTCTTTCTTTTGTTTGATACACGCAAAACGGTGATATCACGATGGTATTAAAACCTATATTAGTTATCTAATTCTAAGTATATTTACACGTTACGTTAAAATTAATAAAAGACTATATTATAATGTCGGAGAAAAAAAAAGAATTCGGATGGAATTTGGAAAGATTTATATATATTTAAGTATTTTGATGTATAACATTTTTATAATTACAATATATTGAAACTTACTAATATTATGTACTACATATTAAATTAATTTCTATTGTGTTTAAATTTTCGGGTTTTGAACGTATTATAAAAAATTCCAACATATTGTTACGGATAATTGACTAGTCTGGCGAAACCACGTAAATCTTCGATTGATCCTTATTGTTTTTTTTTTTCGTTATTCGTTGAGAAAAAAACCAGTTCCGGCAGTTTGCGGTCTGGCGAAGTTCTGGTTTCAAGGAACCAGTGTCAAGTTCGAAGAACAGGAAAAGCTGTGGGTGCAAATTTTTCGACGCGCGTGACTTCCGTCGATTAAGGGAACAAACGATTCCGGGGACTGTCAGAATTTCCAGTAATCTGAAAGGAGTGAGTAGGTCTCATTATCATATGACAAACCATGAATAGTACATGCGATATCCTTATTACGTGTTACGAAGAGAAGTAAAAATAAATAAATGATTTATTAGCTTTGTATCTAAGATCATTTACGAGTTTGATCAATTTGAAAAATTTCTTGTGTCCTTTACGAAGTGTGCTGATGAAAGTGAAGATCTACAGGAGGATATGCGCACACCAGAATATTCCTTTTCTTCGTCATTCATCCTGGCATCACTTGGTCACGCAGTGTCAGGATTCCAACCGCGTAACGTAACGGAGACCAGAGGAAGAGGGGTGTAACGGTTTTTTTCTTTCTCTCTTACTCTTTCCTGACTTCTGGTTTCCTCTTTCGCTCGTTCCTGCTACTTGTCCTACTTGTGCTCTTCTTTCTTCGTTTCTCTTTTCTTGTGATGTAGCTATATGTTCCAGAATTATTTTAAAATAGGCCCGTAATCTTGAATCTCATCACCTATAATTTTGATTAATTCCTTTTATTGTTTCTCGAAGGGAACAAAGAAATAGAAAGTTCGCTACAAATTAATTTAAACTCACTTCCA